GCAGGGAGAATCTTTAGACTCAGAAATTGCTTCACTAGTCAGGCCTGTGCCTTCATCAGCTAGTTCTTCATTTTCAAGTACTACTAAAGCATCAATGGGTACAATTTCTTCGTATTTTGCTAACATGTCCTCTCAAGAAAACAATAAGATTGATCAAATACTCGCAAGGGCTATTTATGTCTCAGGAGCCCCCTTAGATATGACAACGAAAAAAGTATGGTTAGATGTATTCAAAGCAATGAAATGCGCATATAAACCACCCTCTCGTTACCAGTTGTCAAATCCACTCTTTGAATCCGAGTACACTAGAGTAAAAGCTGCAGTTTCTTCAAAAATTAGTGAAGAACCTATCTTAAGCCTACAAATGGATGGATGGTCAAATTGCAGAAATGACTCTATATCTAATTTTGTTATTAATACACCTCTTCCTGTATTTTACAAATCAATACACACCGAAAATAACAGACATTTAGCAACATTTTTGGCCTCAGAAATTGAAAAAGAATTAGGAGCTTCAAATTTTCTAGCTATTGTCATTGACAACGGAGCTAACATAAAAAAGGCTCGTGAAATAGTTAGCAGCAAGTACGATTACATTACTAATTATGGTTGTATTTGCCACGGTCTAAACCTTCTCGTTGAAGAGTTCTTGAAATTAGACCATTTTTCCAATTTTAAAAAGAACATAATTTCAATTGTATCTGAGCTGAAAAATTCGCAAATTTTACATACAACGTTTGAAAAAATCCAGTTGGACAAAACGGGGCGATACGTCTCTTTAAAATTGCCGGTGAAAACAAGATGGGGTTCCTTTGTTTGTTGTCCAAAAAGCTTTTTGGACACTAAACATTCATTAGAAAGTTTACCAGTTGATAATAGCCCAGATATTTCTGATGTTCTTTCATCAAATACAGTAAGACTTCTTCTTCAAAACCAATTTTGGTTACAAATAGAAGCAACTTATAACTTGTTCCAGCCAATCACTAAGTGGATAACGATTTTTGAAGCTAACGGGCCAACAATCTCAAAAGTGTTTATCTGCTTTTTTAAAATAAGATCTATATTATGTGACAAAGTATCAAATTTATCTATTACTATGTTGGAATACCAGAAAATGTGTTCAATTCTTGAAAAACGACAAAATAAATGTTTAAAACCCGTTCATCTTGCTGCTTACCTATTAGAACCAAATCAACGCGGCGACAATTTAACTGAAGATGAAAATTTAATTGCAATGGAGTTCATCTATGAAACTGCTTCTAAGGCGTCATCCAAAGTATTCTTCACAAGTAGATCTTATTATGGAAGCACTCGCACTATACAAAATTAGAGGTAATAATTTTGTTAAGGAATTCGTTATTTCCAGCGAAAAATGTATGTCTGGACCTGTTTGGTGGGCAGGAATTTGCTCCAGTTTTAAAATAAGTAGGTTGGCTGTAGACATTTTAAATTTACCATCGTCAACAGCCGCAACCGAAAGAACCTTTAGTACTTACGGATTTATTCATCGGCAAAGAAGAAACAGACTTACCGTGGAGAGGGCCGGAAAACTAACTTATATTGCCCATAATTATAATTTACTAAATGAAGACGATCATTCAAAAATAGTAGAAGCTACTGAAGAAGAAATAGAAAAAGAAGATATCGGTTTCGAAGTTATAGACTTTACTCAATTAACGAAAGAGAAAGAAGATTCAGATGACGAGGTTGGGGATGATCCGGATGATGATGAGGATGATTTACCATTATCCACTCTATTACATAGTCCATTGTGACTTTGACTAGTTTAAAAAACGTTCTTGTTGTTTTTCGTAATGTTTTTACAGTTTTCAAATAAAAAAAACTTGCATTACTTAAAAAGCAGTTTTTTACAAATTACCAATGTTACCGTAATATTACGCAACATTACCGGTAATATTACCGATTTTTAAATTACCGGTAATTTTACATCACTAGTCATGGATAAATATGAAATAAGTATAATTTATAATTTGTTGAAGAATTAGGAATATTTTTATCTGTTTTAGGCTATTATATGTTATATTACCTATTTATGCTTTGGGTAAGCGAGCTGCGTGCGTTCCGTCTACGATACAATACTCCCCCTCGAAGTGGTGTTCCTGCCCGGGGATCCATCTTATCGTGGCTTTTAGGGCAATTGGAAATGAGTCCCGTAAGAGATTAATAGCAGCATGGATCGTTAGAATACCTGCAAACATCGAAGCAGTCCGAAGTTAAGTTTTGTGATCTCCTTAACGCTCTGCTTCAAAACATACAGCTGTCTTGGGTTGTCAGATCGTTTAACTCGCCGATTTTTTCATAATGACCTACACTTTCATCCATACAAACAGGTAGTAGCATAATAATTTTCCGCACGTAATTTGGTTTCACAACAAACGGCATGCGAAACACTCCTTCAAAATTTGCCTCCTGATGCAGTTGTGTGGTTCTGTGATAAAGCACATTTCCACATCTCAGGTTGTGTTAACAAACAAAACATACGATATTGGAGCAATATCAATCCAAGGGAACTCTATTAAAGGTCTCTTCATTCGGATCGCGGCACAGTTGTACTAGAGTATTCCGCAATGTACCTACATTCGGTCTGAGTAGACGTGTATTTCCTTGTACTTATCAGTCGCTAAGCTTGCTTTCGCTTAAAATGTCGGCAATTAAAAGATAATAAATATTTGTACGTAATACACTGAATTGTTTGTCTCCCAGTTCGTTTTTTCAGATCCCGAATTATTAAAATTATGCGTGATACAAAGTGTAGGGGGAGACAACGATCAAAATTTCACAAAAGAAGTATATAAAAGATATTCTACAGCGATTTGGTATGGAAAACTCAAAACCAGTCAGTACACCAATGGACCCAAATTCGAAATTACAAAAACCTGAAGTAATGAGATATCAAAGTCTGATCGGAAGTTTAATGTATGCATCAAATGGCACAAGACCAGATATTACATTTAGCGTTAACTTCTTAAGTCAATTTAACACAAATTACAACGAGAGTCATTGGATTGCCGCAAAAAGAGTGTTAAAGTATTTAAAAGGAACAATAAATTTGGAACTAACTTATAGAACTTCAGGGAAAGAAATGGAATGTTATACAGGTGTAGATCGGGGATCATCTATAGATGATCAGCGCTACTATACTGGTTATCTGTTTAAAATGGCAAACGCAGCAACGTCATGGGAAACTAAAAAAAAAAGGACCGTTGCTTTATCAAGCACAGAAGCCGAATACATGAGCCTTACTGAAGCAGCTAAAGAAGCACTGTATGATGAGAAAATTCGTTCCATTCACCCCGTTTTTAACCGTTTTCCTGCCTGGTTGTGTTGTAGGTGGGTCTGTCTTACGACTATCTCTCTTTTAGATAATGTCTTTACCTCTTGTGAACCAAAGTTAATCATTCTTTGTCTGATATATATGATAAAACTGTTTATATATTGTACCTCTCGGATGTAAGACTCTAATTTCTCATGCAACAGCAGGCCTACGCCGGCTTATTTTCTCTCATTCTTTTCTTTTTGGTTTACTGCGCTTTTTGTGACTGGCGAGTTGAAACTCACCATTGTAGCCCAACTCAGAGGCTAAAGTCTCTAAACCCCCCTGTGCATCCATGTCTCGTATTTACTATTCTGCAGATAAGATAATTGAAATGAGTACCAACGGGGAATATAATTAGTGATAACACTAGAGTGACTAGAGCACTATAAATAATTTTTGTAAAAGCAGTGCAGACCACGTGTGACACGAGCAACCGTCTCGAAAAAATGCAGTTGATACAATTTTTTGAAAATTTCGCATTATATTTGATATATAAATTTGACATTTTTTTCTTTAATAATTTTGTCCTAGAAATTTCAATAATATCGTATAGTTTTCTTTACGTTAAAATTTAACATTTTTTTTATCTATATTATACATAGCACAATTGTATAACACCTAGTAAATACATACTAATTAGTTACTTATTTTTAACACTAAATTAAACTAGATAATGTTTTGCAGCTTTTCCCAGTGGTCCAGTCTGATTTACCCATAATATAGATAAATATTGTCATATTTTTACCGTTTTAAGACCAAAACACAAAAACGACACACTGCGATACGCGAAACTAAAAAATAATTCGGCACTATTGCTCGCGTTTGAATCGACTAAGGCACTAGGTCACTAAATCGAACGGCTTCGTCCTCTGAAGGCGACGCAGGACATTCTCGTTGTCGAGAAGCTGGATGGCCTCGATGTTGGGATGATCGTGCATTCTCTTCTCATGTTTAGATGCGAATGATGCAATTTCTGATGACACCGATACTACTTTCAAGTCGCGACGAAGGTCGGTGTTTCTTATATACCAGGGTGTATTCACAATGCACCTTAGTACTTTGTTCTGGAATCGTTGAATCAGACTTGTATTTGTCTTGCAGGTACAACCCCACAGTTGGATTCCGTATGTCCATTTTGGTTTTAATACTTGCTTGTATATTAGCAACTTGTTTCTTAGTGATAGTGTTGATTTTCATTTCTCGTCAATAACGCAACATTCGTGAACTGGTTGACTGGACTTAGGTACCGAAGAATACGAGCTCTAGATATTACTGAAAAGAGCATATTTTTAGCTTTCCAATGATCGCACGCATGATGTTTCTGCAGAAAATAAGCGTTATTTTTCAATTTTTAAAATATTAAAGATTAAAAATCAAATTTTTAATTATAGTAAGCGAGGAAAACGCTAAATACTACTTAGATACTATAGCAACATGAGTTTACTTGTCATTTCTCATTCATGAATTTTGCGAAATGAGTATCCCGTTTAAGAAGTTCTGCATTATCTTTAAATAAAACGATAAAATTAAATATAGAATATATTGGAGTCCGCTTTGAAGATGATACATAAGTCTTCATATCCCCATTCAAACGGTGTTTCAATGGAAAGTTCGTTCCCAGTTTATGATCCCTAATTTTCCTCTATCTCACCCAATTTCAAAAGAAAAGATTGCTGATATCAAAAAACTTCTACATCTTATATTTGGGGAAAACTGGGAAAATACTACCGAATATTTCATTCATTGATACCGAACTGTTCTAATCTTACAACCAGTAAGTTGAGTAGAAGAAGATGACAGTTTATGACTGTTTAGTTCCTGAAATTGTCCATATTTAATTATTCTTTAATTAATACATTTCTTGTATTTTTAATAAACAAACATTACTTGCTAATCATTTTTTATTGGTGAACAAAGTCAGGGATAAGATGCTGAAAAATTTTAATTAACTATTCAAAGTTTTTATTCATTGGTACAAAACCAACTTATCCTGAATAATGGTACAAAACCAACTTTATTCTGTCATATTCGTGCAAAACCATATATTATAGCCACTAGGTAGTATTTATTGTCCGGACCCGCCTACTATAATCAAAATTTTGAACATAAATACACCATACATGCGATAAATCATTGGAAAGCTAAAAATATGCTCTCTTCTTTAACATCATAATCAAGTATAGTTTGTATTTAAAAAAAGACAACTTTGTGTTGTATCTCAAAAATCATCAAGTATATTTAAAACTTTTCAACGGCAGTATATTCCACTTAAAAAATGTCTTAAGAACGTATCAACACCATTCCTCTAATTTGAAAAATAAACGAAATATGAGCATTTTTTGAAATCACGAAAATTTGAGTTTTTGGCTATAACTTAAAAACAAAAGAAGATAGAGGTTTGATGTTTGCGGGATTGAATTAGTCTCGAAAAAAGAGACCGGGACATGGCACCTACTTTTTTCGTATCTCTTATACTTTCTGAGATAGCCTATAATAACACCCAAATTTGCCCACCCTGTACATATTCAAGTAATAAAGTCCTTAATTATTATTATCCTTGGTATAAATATNAATACCCACAACGTAGGGGGCGTGATGGCTCAGCGTGTTAGCTCTCGGGTTAACACGCAGACGTCCCGGGTTCGAACCCCGGTGAATTCACGTTGAGTCGCCCCCCGTCCTTCGGAGGGGACGTTAAGCCGTCGGTCCCGGCAACCAGTCTAACATCTCTGGTTGTCGTTAGCACGCATGTGTGTGAGGCTCGACTTATAGGGACGAATGCGCGTGAGCGCCCTCTGACCCCTCGGGGTCGGGGCGGCGGTAACTCGTCATTGGAAACGAGTAAGCGGTATCGTCACCTAACGAGATCTTCTCTACCATCTCGAGCCTCCAAGGGAGTATGCACAAGGGGCCCGCTGGGGCCTAAGTGCGCGTAAATATTACGCACCCCTCTCTCTACATACACATACATACATACGAACGAAGTTTTCGTATCCACTTTGCAAGCGAAGATCAGCCATTAAGGATCTGTATGCACCTTCGAAACGTCTTTTCGCTAAAAAGCTTCTAATATTCCACCTTTTGCGTTTTCGAAGTGAATTCTTTTGTGGTTTTAATAACTTTATTGCAAAATAGAGTAGAAGTACCGGCTGTACTTGTTAACTAATTGTAGTGAAATTAATATCGGGTATAGCAGCCAAAGCGCTGAATTAAAAGAAAACTATCCTTTTATAACATTAAGCTTTCGGTCTTTATTTAGGCCTTCATCAGAACATTACATCTACAATAAATCAAAAAATGAACAATAATAACAAAATAGACGCAATAAAACTTACGGACAGAGCGCCAAAAAAAGTGAGGTTAAGAGCATGTCAACGGTTGAAGACCGCTGAACAACCAGCAAACGGCCTGGAAAAACAGGTGACGGGGGCGTCAAAGAACCACTAAAAGGCACAAGGCAGGCGAAAACCAAACCAAAGAGCAGGA